TTTATACTGTGTTTTCACTATATTTGCTCAGGGAAGGTGCAGATACATCCATCTACCACAGAAAGAGAAGAGGAAGTGAGGAAGGTATTTGTTGTAATGTTTGCATCATTAGAAATATGAAATATGTCTTTAACTCTATACAAGGATCATCAGCTTTCTTACCAGAGGTGCGTTTGTTCAGCAGGGAGGGGTAGATGAAGTTGTGATAGATTGTGTGGCTGTTCTTTGGATCAGCATCCATGACACTCATGTGTTTGCTGAGAGCTGCGACACTGGACATAGAAACAAAACACAAAGTGACAATTAATACACTACAGAACGTCCCTGAAATAAAAAGCTCGGACCTGTGAACTCACATGGTTTGAAAGACGGGGCAGGAGAAGTTCTTGGTGCTGAGGCAGGCGAGGAGGGCCGGGGGCACGTCCGGCAGGAGGGGCATCATCTTGACCTTGAACCAGAGCTTGATGAACTCTGGGTCCTGCAGGTGTTCCAGGGTCAGAGACGGAGACTCCGCCTCGGAGAAGATCTCCTTAATGTCCGACCCCAACTGGTTGAAGTTCTAGACGGGGAATGCAGGAACATTTAAATTTTTTATTTAAAAATAACATGACAAAAAAAAAGACACACACTCGCAAAAAGTAGTTTACTCTGCCGAATGGATTCCCTGTAGGATTCAAGAAAGATAAGTCTGCAGACATTTTTACTCCCGAAACGTTGTAGACAAGTGAGGTTCTTTATTGGCAAAGTTTTAAATGTTGGAGATGGTTTTGTGTGTCTGTGATTGCAGCTTTGAAAAACTGATTCTTATACTTAATTCAAATGTTAAACTTGAGCTGAGAGTATAAATGCACAGTTTGAAAGACATAAGACTGGAATCTATCATTACAGTGATATAGGCTGCATTTAAAATCATTATTAATATAATAATAGCGGCAGTTTGTATTCATAAAATGTGTGTTAACATCAACACTACCTGTGAACAGGAAAAAAGGCTTTTATTTTGAAATATACAGCTGAAAATGTTTGATTATAAATGTGATCATAACATATATAATAAATATACAGATAGATACTCACGGTTGTAGATAACTCCTTCATCAGTGAGTTCAGTCGTTTTGTCAGCTCTATGATCAGCCGCATGATCGTCTCCTCCGTCATCGTCAGGTTGGAACGAGCAGCACAGTGTAGAACGTAGGCCATGTGCTCCACTGCATCCGTCAGCTGGTGACAAACAAACAAACAAAAAAAAAAAATATATATATATATATATATATATATATATATATATATATATATGTAAAAGTACAGAAGAGTGTCCACATACATGTAATAATAACCATTCATTCTTGATTAAAGTTAAAATAAATAACTTATAAAATAAAGCCTCACCCCACAAGGGCTCTTATCAAGGGTGAGGCTACAAACATCCAGGATCTCCGAGGTTTCATTGTCCTTCTGATGGTCCAGGTAGCTACAGAGAAACAAGACACACACTTGAATTAATAAGACATAAAAATACGTCACGTTACTACACAGGGACACAGACTGACCTGGGGTTGATTGAGTGTCTTTAATTAAAGGTGCATGTATAAGATTTTGACCACTAGAGGGCATAAAAACTCCTAAATGAGTCAGTAACACAATCACCTGACATATTCTCAGCTAATCAGGTGTTTATAGCTAACATGTGAGGAAGCTAAGGCATTTTATCACATCAACAGACACATTTGTGTAGATTTAATATGATTTTTTCTGATTGTATATCTGTGGTGCAGGGAATACAGGGTACAGTGTTTTTAATCAGGGTCTTTCATGAGAACATGTCTGCTGCTGCTACTGAACCGTAGATTAAAACCAAAACAATTAGCTTCAGAGGATAAAAGGGTCAATCAAATAACCCAGCTGGACTTACAACAATTGGTGGAATGCGAGTTTGATGTTTTGATGCATCGGGGCCCCAGTGTTTGGCAAGAACCTCCGTAACACCGGCATCACGACCTGCTTGTACCAGTCCTCCACGTTCGTCACATCAAACTTTGGCGGCTCTGGGACGACGGACGTGTTGCGCGGCCGATACATGTCTGCGAGCTCAGCCAGAGTCCAGTTGAGCAGGAACTGGGTCAGAGTGGTGCTTCTGATCTCTGACACGTTTCTCTGGGGAAACACAGCAGATCAGGAGTCAGGGCCGATGGCAGGTTAACATCTGTACGTCAGTATGTGTGAACGTGTGAATGCACAGAGTGAGCGACCGTACCTCACGTGTGAAGGACACAAAGTCATGAACGAAGCTCCCGATGGGTTTGAAAGCCATCATGAACCCGTTTACGACCTGTAGGTGGGACACAAGTGGTGAGTTAAATTAGAAGTCTTCACAGGACAAACCAGTGGTGTAGGTGAGATTTGTTTTTGTGGCCATCGAACTTAGCCTGCAATTATCCGATCAAATTGTTGATATCAAGATATTTATATATATATATATAAAATGTAATAACTCAAATATAATCATGTGGAAGTATTATTAAAATAGTAATACTTTAACATGATATCATATAATATCAGGATATAAATAGGGTAAATACAATGTAAAATAAATTGAATGGTGAGAATCATATAGGAATTTGGAGACACGTAGAATTAAGATTGTTTTTTATCTGTTTTTGTTTTTTTTACATTTGAGCTTTCCAGACCTAGAAGAATGAATTCATCCACACAACATCACCGTACCTCTCTGATGCCGTGTTGTGGAGACATAGGGTTATATGTAGGTTGTGGAGAATAGCTGGGTGGATAATATCCAGGGTTCATCCAGTTGTTGCCAGGGTTCGTCCAGTTGTTGCCAGGGCTCATTGTGGGAGGAGGGTGAGAGGGGTGAGTGGGAGAAGGGCCCCCAGTCAGCAAACTGTGGAAGATCAGCGTTAAGGTGCCATTGTCCAAACCTGCGACCCCAGGCATCAGCAGCAGCTCTGCCTTTTGTGCTGGGGACAGCAGATGAAGGACCTCCAGCTGTGGATGAGAACAGAGGAGGAGGAGGTTGGAAATGCGATTGCATTGGTTTGAATGTAAATAAAGAACAATAACAAAACGTTGTTCTCCGGTCGTTACAGGGTGAACATTTCTTCTGAATGTCTCTGGAGAGCAACAGCTGTTAAACTTCTCCTCTCTCTTATCACTTGAGGTTTTAAATCCTGTTAAGCAAGTTAACTCACTCCACTAAAGACCATGTTAAGAGTTGAAAAATCCTTCATGCGGGCCATGCCTCTGAAAGCACCAAAATTCTTCATCAGCCAGTCCTCGCTGCTCTCATTCCGACCCGCACAACCTGAACAGAGATTACACACCAATAACACACATAAACAAAACAGAAGATAAAAAATATATCGTATAATGTCGCACATCCAAAATCTCCCGTGCTGCACGCAGAGCCGCCTTGTAGCCATTTATATCGTACTCTTTTGTTTGTCTGTTTGAAGGATTACGCAAAAGCTAGAATCCCATGAAATTTGTGAAGGGGCGGGGCATTCAAATTATTTTACACTTTCTTTGACATATGAGATGTTTTTTGACTTTGATTTCATAGAGAATAATGTTTTTTGACTTTGATTTCATAGAGAATAATGTTTTTTTTGTTTTTTTTTAATTAGACAGATTTAGGGGACTGATATTTAGGATTTGGTGCAATTTGGTGCAGATCCAAATAAAAATTCCAGATCTCATGATGTTATGAAGTTGCACAAGGAAACTGTTGGGCCTTGGCGGAGGAACAGTATGTGCTCTTCTGATTGTTATTGCCGAAGTTAAAATCACATTTGTCACTGCTCATACCATGACCCTTTTGTACAATAGGCCACGCCCTACACATTTTGTTCTTCTTTTTTTATATATTTATTTTTTATTCTAACTGAACTTTTTATTTCACAGTGGCCTTCTCAGTCAGTGGTGATGCCAATACTAAATGAGCCTTTGAATCTGAAATAGATTTTTTTAAACAAGAACATGCAGCTTAAATGGAGGAAGATATTCAGCACTCCAAGTTAATCAGAAGTTAGATTTATGAGCACAAAAACTTTACCAGCGACTCGGTCTCCAGACAGGAAGGGATACATGAAGAACGTGTAGATCCACTTCTGTCTGACTGGTTCCATCTCAGAATAATGGTGACTGAGCTCCCTCACCCTGGAACAAAAGACAGGATGATGAGAAGCTGCCGTGGTCACTGAAGCACACCGATAGACGATTAGACGGAGATACACGTACACAGTCTGGTAGGTGGAGCAGCTGAAGTTCTTGGTGCTGAGGCAGGTCAGGAAGTGTTTGGTGATGGATTTCAGCAGCGGCTTTATCTTCACTTCCAGCCACATCTGCACCAGGGCTTCATTCTGCAGGGGGTCTGCACCGGGATTCAATTCCAGAGCCCCCTGAAGGCTGAGGAATGGCACTCCGGTCATGCTCGTCCTCTGTGGTGATGAACGGATGTAAAATAAGAAAAAGAAATCAGAAATCAGTCACTGAAGAAGATTTCGTGGATTTTTTAAAGTTAAATAACTTAAGTTAATAAAACAGGTTGAGAAATACATGTGACATTTGTTTTGTGACATAGTTTTTCTTTTGTCTTATTGTCAGCTAATCCAAAAATAAAGATGAATCAATCAATCGAGCTCCAACTACAGAGCAGTCACTGATCTGTGACAGTTTGGAAAGTCTGACTGTTGCTCCATGAGAAACAGCCTTACAGCACCGACTGGTCAGGTTGGAATACAAGATAACATTCCTCCAGTTGCGTGCTTACTGGCACATTCCTGCATTAACTCTGAACTTTACCACGAAGGTGTACACATCCATCGTTGCCTCGAGCACGTCTTTCAGTCTGCGCACATGATCTCTGCCCGTGTCGTTCGACGGCAGCCCCACACAGTGGAGGAAGCGCGAGGTGGAATCATGACCCTGGGAATGAATGATGAGAGGAAATCTTGAGAAATAAGAAACTACAGCAATGAAAGTTTTTATTTGAATGTTAAAGTAAAAGTACAGATCGGCGGGCTGATATACTTTGTGACGGCAGCACATTACTGTTACAGCTGCCAGCGGTGGAGACTGATTCACTAATTGTTGGAGCTGTCAACTCGTAGACATTTTAAACTTAAAACCAGACAATACACGTTTCTTTAAAGACATCAGAGGCCTAAAAAAGTTTGGAATCCACAAGTTTAAAGTTCAGCATTGTGTTTTCTTGTTAGAAGGTTGTTATATCATCCACTGGGTGAAACAAACATCTTAACAGTAACTAGAAACACCATATTCTGGTTATTTACACATTTTTTAATAGAGTAAACTGATTCAGATCATTTGTTCCATTTTCCCAGTGGTGACTGACAGAGCTGCAGCTGTTTCTGGACGTATAACCCTTCTTATATACAGACAACATCCATGAGCATGTAGAAACCTGCTCCACAAAGAGAACTATAGCTAAATAAGCTGTGTGATTACAACATACTTGAAAGCTTTATTGTAATGATGGATTCAAATGTCTGATGTGAAAACAACGTCTTCATGATATTTCACGTCTTTACAAGTTCACATTGCAGCTGCTGACCAGTAGAGTCTGAAATGCTGACTGTCAATTGCTGCTAGACATAAAAACTGTGATGTTGTTGTACACAGCAGGAACAAAACGTCTCACAGTCACAACATCATGTTCGACATTCTCCACATGATAGAGTACAGTGCCCTGGTATTTGTCACAGGCACATCCAGGCCATTGTTCTGGTATCTGTGTTGTGTCGTCCACACCTTAAAAACTACCAGATGTATTGATAAACTCTGTGAAGGTAACGTTTGACCCATCTCACAGCGATAACTGATGCAATCAATGTGCAAACTGATCTTGAAGCCACTGATATGTGATCTGAGCAGTTTTGCTGCAGTGCAGTCGAGTCATTACTAGAATCCCAGGGCCGTGACAACAGATCTGTTGGAGAAACATTTTCAGACACTGAACTCTGGACATTTTCTGTATGTGAGGACACAAATGTCTGAGTCAGTTGCTCCGGAACATGAAGAGTGACTGAGTGAGGCCATGTGAGAATAAAACAGGAAAATGTTTGGAATATTCACAACGAGCGAGTACTCGGCCTATGACCCCTTTATTATTTCATCTTAAAATAACAAAAATACACCAAATACACATTAAATCACAACTTGTAACGTCTTTACAGTCACTGTCTCATAAATTCTTCTTCGGAAACAATCTGAGTAATAATCCTCGATATACAGATTAAATCTTTGGGAGTGAATCGAATATAAACACAGATAAGTGGAAAAAAAACTAAATGTTCTGGTGCAGTTGTGAATGTGTGGTTGTGGATTTAAACCGTAATTACAATAAGAAAAGCTTCACTCACCTGAACACAGGTTTCTCCTGAAGTGCAGGATTCATTTCTGTAGATTTACAACCGAGAAGGATCAAGGTGAGAATTTAAAAGATAAAAGTAAGTCATCATCGAATGACAAACAACATTTGCTGCACCACTGTGATGATTAAATATCTTGTTTCAACTTCCTGGTCTTACCTTTGTGCACTGGATTGCCCTGTTGGAAAAAGACAAAGTTCATTTTTAGAGCTGAGACGTAGGTTCTGAGAGACGTAGGACACTTTCACACTATTATTCCATTCTTCACATGTGATCCTGTAAGTTTGGGTCTTACTCAGTTATTAAAGGGAGCGGACTGAAGAATTTAGAACATAAGAATTCGTACATCCTGTCCTGCGTTGGCAGCAACTGTGACATTGTTTGTGGTTTGGCCCAAAAGTCCAAACTAATCAAAGCTAAATTTTGGTCCGTTGGTGCAGATCATGGTCTGAGGCATCGCTCACACCGGTTATATTGATTATTTTGAGAGAAAATGAGTTTACAAATCCACATCCCAGCTAAATCAGAAGTTATACAGATATAGAATTAAAGGCTGCAGTGCATCACGGACAATTAAGGCTGTTGATGATGGAGAAAATGTCCAAAAGACATTTCTGTCTGCTGCGTGAAGCTGGTTTCTGAACCCAGAGAAACTAACCTTGGAGATGCATTATGTTGCTTTTACATTCTGTTGGGATCTTTTGTAAAACACTGAATTTCCTCCCCACATACACTATTTACTATTATATCTTGTTCCATATACTGTAGGATGTTAAATAAGAGGTAGAGAAGTCCGACAGGTTTGAGAAAAAGGTAAACCACAGTCACTGTGTTCTCTTCTTTTGTCAATACTCTCTTTAACCTTCGAACAATGCGGCTGCCGCGATTGCGTAGTGTTGCTTTTGTACTCATATACAGTGAATAGAGCAAAACCAACAGATCACTAGACTTCCCTCCCCTTTCTGAGGCAATCGCAAGTCCATTCCTCCTGTTGAAGGTGATGTCCAGTTTGTAATAGAAATGTTTTACAACATCTGGACACTGAGGTTTATAGGTAAGGGGACTATTTTCTGAAGTACGTGGGATTAAGTGAAAAGTTGAGGCCGGTTTATATAAATAGTTTAATGGTTTTTGTACAATTGAGCTCTGGGGCACTGCGCTACAACAGAACAGATAAAATCAGGATCAAATGTGACTTTAGACTTTGGACAAGCTGACAATAAGAGAACATATAGAATATCATCAGGCGTATATCCTTTGTGACTGGAAAAGAAAAGACTTCAAATCGGATCTTACCAAAGCAGCTTCCCAGAAGGTAAATGAGTAGGAAGAGGCAGCGTGAGCTCATGATGTGACCACTCTCATGGGATCAAGGGCCTTTGTGCTGAAAATCACTGGGGAGGGAATCAGAGAAAGCAGGTGACACACACACCAACAAGTTCTACGAGGAGGATCAGAGTGTGAACTCTGTTAAGTTAAAACATAAAGCTTCAGCAACGAGAGGAAAAACATCACATCACCAAACATCTCTGCAGGAGAATGAGTACAGTGCGGAACAGACTGATAGTTAGCAGGATTGGATTGGTTCAGGGAAGAAGCTGTTAAACTTTGGTACTGATTCCGGATCAGCGCGCAGATCAAAGATTTGTTTTCCTCTTTGTGAGATTGTTTCAACATTGATCTCTGTGGCGCAGATCCAGATAAAAATCTGGATCTATTCAATTTCAATGTGGATTAATAAGGGGACTGTTTGGCTACAGGACCGATCCCTTGAAATAATGACAAAGGTCAATAAATCACAGGCTTTCCCTTTTATACAAAACAAATTTTTTTTGCTTAGTCACTGTCCTCCTTGTATAACGTCTTCACTTGGTGAATAACTGTTTCAACCTGTTTCAGTGGCGGCAGATAAAAATCTGGGAGTGGCTGTCGGATATTTTGCAGTCACAAATTTACCAAGTACAAAGGTGATGAGACAATAGATGTTCCAGAGGAAAGAATGCTGCAACACCGAACATCCACCTCCACACAACGAGACACGAGCATGTGACAGTGATGGAAAAATTCTTCAATCAAGCCACAAATAGCGGCTCTGCACAATGTGCCCGAGTGAACACATTTATTTCTTTAATGTCAGATTTAGATTTTTTTTAAGTATAAAAAACAAAAGTTAGATTCTCTTTAGTGGTAAATCAAATAATCCGAGCAACACGAAACACTCAACATAGCAAAAACACACACATTCAACTCTGCACAAGTAATCAGGACACTGCACAGACTTCCATTCATTGACTGTCAAACCATAAACCTTACTCCCAACTTTAACCAGGACTAATTCATGCTTAACCCCGACCTTAACCTAACCAGCATTCACATCTCTAACTTTAACCAGAAACTCAGAAATGATGTGTGGCCTCATTAGTTGGAACTGATCGTGGGAACGTTTGGGTTTCTCTATAATTGTTAAAGTCTTGACCTTCTGCGTAAAGGGCCTTGAGATAATGTATTTTGTATATAAGTGCTGTATAAATAAAATTGATTGGAACTGAATGAGCAGATGATTCCAGTCTTATGAGGATTTTTAGGTTTCTTAACAGATTTATTGCACAGCAGAGAAAAGGTGTTTCTACGTGGATAAGATTTATTTTAATAAGAATAATTGAAGATCACATTCGTCATCATTAAGACGTGAACGTTTAACGTTGTCCTGGAGGAGAAAATATTAGTTTATCTTCTTGAAAATTAGAAGACGTGTATTAGAAAGTGAATTTAAATCAAAAACATTTGTAGACAAAGTTAATTCTTATAGGAAGCGACACTGATGTCTTTCAAATGTTTTACTATTACACAGAAATGTTTTGTGTAATTATCAACTACACACACACACACACACACACACACA